TCCGGCCCCGCAGCACCCCCAGGAGCCTGCGGCTGCAGGCCTCCTCCAAGAGCACCTGCAAGCTCCCACGTTCATTTTGTGTCCTGCTAAAACCTTCAGTAACCTTTGCACGTTCGCTGCTGGGGGGAAGGAAGCAGATTCCCACCCCAGGCCTTGGCAAGCCAGGGAAAAACTGGTTATGACCTTACGGGAGCAACAGAAATAGGGTGAAGCTGAAGCTCTCAACGGGCAGGATCGTTGCACTCCTCGCACGTGGCCAAAAATCATGGGGAATGATGAAGACCTGGTGCGCTGGTGAGCCAGCTGCTGGCTGCAAGCCCCCAGCAGGACACTGCTGCGGAAAGGCCAGCCCTCTCCCGGGGTGCAGCAGGAGATGGATCGTACGGGAATCATTAAGCACCAGCCCTGGCATGACCTCATCTGGACTGGCACGGGCACAGAAAGATGACCTCAAAGGGGAGCCGGTGCCAAGGACGGCCGCTAGCACAGCCGGGGGACGGCCTGTCCAGCAGACAAAAGCAGAGCAGGGACAGGAGCCCTGTCCGCACAGGGCCGGGAGCGGTATTTAAACAACAGTGCTGGCAAAGGAACAAACAAGCAAAAATTGGCCAGGAATAAATCTGGATGGCAATTATCAGACAGCTCCCGAGCCCTGAGGCAGAAGACTGATGCACAGCTTCCCGCAGGGAAACCGAGCTGCTTTGGGGGTGGTGGGAGCTGCAAGGACTGGTCAGTCTGTCCTTGCGCTATTTTTCTACCTGGTATTTTGACGAGGGGGTGGAGGAAGCCGTGGGTTGGGTATCAAGAGACGTGGTCCTTTCGGCACAGGCTATGCCACGCAGGGCTGGGGTCCAGGCTCAGCGGCGGTGCTAGGCAGCTTGATTCTCCTGCAGGGACGAGTTTTGTGACAGCCACTAACACAGATTAACATGAGCAAGAGCTTTAGCAAGCAGGGACGGCCACCTGCGCTAAGGAGACTTGGGCCATCAGGAGAAAGACAGAATCACAGAATCGTTAAGGTTGGAAAGGACCTCTGAGATCATCGAGTCCGACCTGTTACCCTGACTGCCTGCTCCGCCTCTAAACCATGTCCCCAAGCACCACATCCACACGTTTTTTGAATACTTCCAGGGACTGTGATTGTACCACTGCCCTCGGCAGCCTGCTAAAGACTGTAAAAGAAAGATGTGGTGAACATGCTGCCTTTGCCCCGGGGGAATCCTCGGGGAGAGGATGTACGAGCTTGGAGGAGTCGGGCAGCTCCATGCCACTCGGGTGCAGGGGAGCTGGAAGGTCTCGCTAAAATTGGCTCCCAGCCGGGGAGCCACAGGGATGCCGGCAGGGAAGGCACGCTGCGAAGCCTGCGGAGATCAAAACGTCAGTCTGCTCTCGGAGCACGACTTCACCCACGTCTTGTCGCAGCAGCTGCATCGAGTCACACGCCAGGAGTTACCAAGAGTGACAGGAGCTGCTAACCGTCACGCTGGATTGTCCCACTCCAGGGACGGCTACGGCAAGGAACACTCCCCAAAATAAACACTGGGCGCACAGCTCCCATTCATGTCTGGGGTTAGCGGCACAGCCGCGGCTGTCCCAGCCGGGGTACTACACACGCTGTCCACGAAGCAGACCCACAGACGCCTGCAGACTGGCCTCCTCTCCTCCTGGAGGACTGCCAGGCCAGCCTGACGCTGGCGCGAAGGCTGCTCGTCGGGCAGCTCTCGTACCGCACCCCGCAGAGGCTCGGTCAGCAGCTGAGCGACCCCGGCCGGGAAGACACAGCGGGTGGGAACAGGGGACTCGGAGTTACCTCTCATGACTTATCATGAACGCTCTGCCTTCAAGCTGGCGCAGTGGAAGCAATCGTATCACAGCCGAGGGCCCTGCGGATCAAAACCAGCCAGCGGTGCAAAGGGGCAGGGGCCATATGGCTTTCAGGCCTCCAGCAGCAGCCGCCGAGGACGGGGCTCCCCTGGCCGTGCTCGGGAACCAGGCCCAGCTGGCAGGCCACAAACACAGCGATAAATCTGCACTTCTCCCTCCTGCCGCTCGAAACCAACCGAGACCTTGTACAGCATGCAGCTCTGGCCAGCGCTAACGGCAAGTCGCAGCTCCTCAGCCTCAAGCTCTTGGTATTTTTTGGATGACTGATAAACCCAAAAGCAAATACACTGGTACCTCTAGAGATGCTCACAGGAACTATTTATATCGATGTGACTCTGCAGAAGCTTCCCCATAACGACAGGCACGTACACATACTTTTTATATTTAGCTTATTCGAAAGACTGGGCATGGGAGAGCCCAGCTCAGACAAGGTCTCTCGCTTTCTCCCCTCGCTCACGCTTGCTGGCACTGGATTACAGCTCATGCTGTAGCCCCAACCAGTTCAGCATTCCCTGAAAAAGGCAGAAGTCTTAAGTCTAAAAAGCACCGTTTTGCTGCTATTCCCTTCCACGCTCCCGCTTCACCCACGGGGTGGGATTTCTCTGGCCTTGCTGCCAAAGCCGAAACACGCCACACACCCTCCTGGGGCTCTAGCGTAAGTGAAGAGAGCTCCCGCATCTGCTTTTCTCTTTTAAAAGAGTATTTTGGAACACAATGACTCATCTTCGCTTGTTTTTGTCTCAGCTCCTTGTGCTGACAAGGAACACGAGCCACAGGGAGCACAAAGGCTCCTACGGCGGTCAAATCTGGCCCAGGTGACGGACGAACCGATGCCAGCGCCAGCGTTTCCAGGGGACTCGGCGCCCGTACGGCCTTCTGCTAACCAAGAGCTGCGTTCGCAAGGAAGCAGCGCTGAACAAAACCACCGTCTCCCTCACGCCGCGTGAAACAGCAGCTCTGCCAGGACAGACTTCGGTTTGGGGGAAAGAACTCATGGGTTTTATGTTCAGCTTTTTTTTTTTGGAATGATTTTTAATTTAGTGCCCCGTTCCACGAAGCGTAAGAACGCAACAGCCTGAGGGGCAGCGGGATGCCCTTCTGTGAAACAGTCCTGGAGGGACAGGCAGCTCGCAGCCCAGGCAGACGTGCTTGCGGTGGAGAAGAAGACGTGCAGAGGCAGTTGTACAACAGAGCTTTATAGTCAGAATGGATTGTACCAGGTTTTTGTCAATGCAAAAAGGAACATGACCCAAAATCTTCACAGAACAGAAGCGCTTTCAGGAACGCAGCCAGCTGAAGCTCGAACGCCCGCCTGCCTTTTCGCAAGAGAGGCCGCAAACCAGTCATGGCCCAGTCCGCTTTTTCCTCCCCAGATGTGCAAAGTTTGACCTGTCCCATGCAATTTCCCTACGGCGTCACGTGAAATGTAGTAACGCTCAGAGGAGTAGGCAAATGCTAATGGCAAACAGACCTGAACAATATACTGCTCATGCAGCAAAAAACCCAGTTTGTTTTACAGGGAAACAGTTACAAGTGCATTTTGGGGGCTGGGGAAAGAAAAAATGGAGCAGGTAACTGCCTGCTGGTCAAGACAACTCTGGAGCGGATAATGGATCAAAAGAACACCTCGCTTTGTAGGGATGTAGAAGGAAACCCCAGTTTGGATTTCATGGTTGACATTCTACAACAAAAAGGGGAGAGGGAGAACAAAACCAAACGTCAAATCAACCTGCAAGCAACAGGGTAACGTAATGCACAGAGCCTGGAGGGAGCATCACCGTCTGAGCTGGGAGAGGGACACCAGAACCAAAACCGAAGGGGGTTCGGAGAACTAACAAGCTCCATCAAACACAGGGGCTGCTCGCTGAGACACAGGCAAGGGCGAAGGGCTGGCCTGCAGTGCCCATCCAACGGCAACCGATGCTGCCGAGACCAATCCACGGGTTTAAGTTCAAAGCAAAAATTAAAAGGCTTCCCAAACTCACGGGACAGGAGGAGGCTGTCCGCTCGGGGCAGGGGCAGGCAGCACGCTGGCTGCGGGGAGGCTGGGCCCAGGACACGCGGCTGCAGTATTGAGAGAAGCGGGGCCAGGATTGAGCTGTCGAGCTACAGTGGTCGTCCCTCTCAGTGCAGAGAGGCAGCCGGTGTTTTACAGCGTGACTGTAAAATGCCTGAGAAGCAAATGCCTTGCCATGCTAACACTTCCCTGGAGACAGTTCTGAAGCTCTGGATATCTTCATTTCCACATGAGAGTCATGTCCCTGAGAGGTACTGAAGGGAGGGGATTCTAGTATATGCAAATTCAAGGGTGGGAAACGCAGAAAAGCACTGATTTTCCTCTCTTTTTCGGGTTAGCTTTGCACTTTGCATTGTTTTCCCAAACTGCATAGCAGCTTACGTGTAGTGTCTGAGACACTGGGGCCACGGAAATCAATGGGGCTTCATGAATTCCAACAGCAGCACCAGTGAGTGCTAATTAAGCTGCTGTGCAGAAAGGTCCCGTTCCAAGGACTCCAAAATCACACGCACTCTCTCCCACTCTGGCCTTGCGGCTGCTGTTTTAGAGAGCTGTACCATAGCATGATCTGCTCAATTTAAAGCTCACCAACTGCTGGGTGGAGCAATGGCCAATACCACCTTTCTCATTAAAAAAATAGGAAGGATAAAAAGTTAAAGACTTGAGACAGGCGAGCACGATGCGTTCATGCGGCATGTTTTGTTGCACTCCTCTTAACAAGACAGGAATTTCAGGTGTGCAGGAGTGGAACAGAGCAGGGGCAGCGCAGGAGGCAGGTCCCCTTCGCCTCCCACACCCCGCCAGCTACCCAACGGGGCATCTCTGGAAGGAGAAAAAATGACAGCCTGGAAGTGGGCCTGGGAACCGTGCCCTGAACCTTCCCCTTACTCAAGTACATCTCAGCTGGATTTTCATTGTGTAACGAATGCACCAGAACAGCACACACAGATGCAAAGCTTTTGTTTTGCCAGCTCTGTTTTGAGAGAATATATGGCAAATGGCCAAAGCTTTACACATCTGCACCTGTCCTGGTGTGACTCGTAAGAAAAGATGGAGACAGCCACGACAGAAGAGTCCGCTGCGCGTACATGCAGCCAGCCTACAGCTCCTCATAGTCCCCACCTCCTCGTGGCTTGTTCATGCTGGCTCCTCCTCCTCCAAGAAAAGCCTCAAGTTCATCTATTTCATTGTTTTTCTCCTTGCTCTTCTTCTTCTTTTTCTTTTTCTCCTCTTTGCTCTCCTCCTTCTCTTTGCTCTTCTTGTGTTTGCTCTTCTTTTTCACAGACTTCTCCTCTTCCTGCAAAAGGAGAACACTTTTCTTAGTAAATGCTCTGAGCATGCCAGTAACCCAGCGTAGATCGCCCTGAAACTTGGCTCTGATGGGAACCTTGCTTAGGGTGAAGCACCTACTACCAGGGCTGGCTTGGAGTTAATTCCAGAAGACCCTTCTGCGTGTTTGGACAGAAGAGAGGAAAGACCATCTGGTTTATATGTAGCAGTGGTCTGTCAGGCAGTTTGTGCCTACAATACCACAGTATCGGACAGGCAGAAATGGCAAAGACAAAGCCTCCTGCAGATTTCCCTCGCTGCCTCTGAGATTAGGTCTGTTGGGGACACCCCTCTGCTTGGAAAAAGTCGTGATGCTATCAACAGACTCAGCCCAGCAGAGATGCACTGCTCTATTTAATCCTGTATTTTACAAACTCACACCCTGCCTTTTCAAAATTCAACTGTTCTAAAAGCTTGCTTTTAAGCTGCAAAGTGGTTAATGGTCTGCAGAGCCTGGGGGCACAGATCCGGCTGCAGGGTGGGAGAATGGAAGGAAGCTGACCAGGACACAGGGTACGCTGTAGAGGCCACCCCTCTCCTTGGCTGGTAGGTAATATGGCAGATCAGCTCTGAGGAATTAAATAGTACCTCTTTGCTTTTCTTTTTCTTCTTCTTTTTCTCCTTAGAAGGTTGTTTATCTGCTCAAACAAACAAAAAAACGACATTGTTTTTAATCAATTTAAACCGTAAGAGATGCAATTCTGCCCTGCCCCGACTTCTGAGAACAAAATGCTCCATGCCGGAGCCACGAGCAAGGGCAATCCCGACTCCTCAGGACAAACTGCACCCCTTTGGAAACCACCATGGCCCCAGCAGTCACACCCTAACGTAACCATATAGATATAGTTGAATTAGAGCATTATATTACCTATATTATTCTGTGTTACGAACACTGACCTGGGCGTTCACTGTATCACAGCTACTTAGCTCTACAAACTGGTCCAAAGGCCAAACTGGGGCCCAGGTTATTATTTCCAGAACTGAAGAAGAGGGCCTGGGAACAATTTCCCTCTGACCACTACATATTCGAAGGCAGACGGAGATGCCACCAGGCACGGTTTGTGCTTCTGTGAGTCGAGCCAGTAATGGAAGGAGCGTTCAGGACACTGTCAGCAGATGGGAGCACCCTAGCAGGCTAGCACTCGCTCTTGTTCCAACTGCGTATGGAAATTATAGCACCACGAGGCCAAAGCGCCAGTGCTGCAGCCCTGCTCTACAGGGGTGGCTACTTTCATGGTTTCAAACGAGTCCCAGAGTCCATCACTGTCAAATCATTTGTCCTAGGTTATTGTGGTTGATGACTTGGCTGCTAATTAGGCTGCTGAACGTCCACTGCCTTTGCACAGAAACTCCTTGAACAGGAGAGCAGCTACTTGGCTGTTTCACGGGAGGGTTTCACGCGTGGTATTTGACTGCCAATCTTACCTACACGTTCTTTTCCTTGGTTGATCTGTAAACACGAGTCAGCCATGGGGAAGTCCAATTGCTGGTCAAGCTCCAACTGGCTGACTATGAAGATATGTTTTTATATTTATCCCAGAAAGAGGAGATAAGAGGAGCCCACGTTGATTTATTAAAGATGCTAAACTAAAGTTAAATTATTAACCCGGGCCTCTGCAGATGAACTTCTAGCTATTTCAGGCTGAGCTGTTCAGCAACTCAACGCAACAAGCTGATGAAGCCGTCGCAGCCTGTGACACCTTGCTTACACTTTTGGAATAGCTATTCCAAGATCTCTCTCTGGCACTGCCTCCAGCTTTTCCTACCCTTAAGCCTTTAACTTCTCATCTTTCGCGGTGACATCAGGGGCAGATCTATAGGAAGTTGCTTTGCAGTAATGCCAAGACAGCAGAAATTATTTGTGCGAGTAAGATTTGCTCCCTCAGGGGATGGGGGAAAAAAAAAAAAGCCTGAGGAATGCTTAGGTTGTGATCAGAACCCCACCCCACCTTTCCCAAAAATAGAAGAGCAAATTGGCAGGGTATGTCAGAGCATTTTGTTCAAATTGATCCAAATTCTTGAGGGGGTGGACACTGCAATGCTGAGCACCACTCCCCAGGCACGCAAGGCTAAGCAGGAGCCTTCTACAGAAGCAGCTTGTGAAAGATGTGCTCCTGCTGGGACAGAAATAATACACGGCTGATGCCATGGATGAGCCCAGCTCCCCCCCTCCCCATGGGGAAAAACTTAAAGAAAGTTATTTATGCTGTGTTAAACCACATTAAAGACTCACACAGGGCACTGCATGAAGTTACAGGGTATTTTATTTAGTGCAAATTGGTTTGCTTACACCCTGGGACCATTTTGGAAAAAACAGATGCCTGACAAACAAAATCGGCAAGAGTGGAGATAAAGCGTGACCTTTACCTTCCTCACTGCTCTCCTTGGGACCGGCTTCTTCCAGACCCAAACCAAAGAGATCGGAGTCATTTTTCAGTTTAAAGGAGTGGACTGTTGATTTCACAGGCTGGGGTGGCTTTGCCAACGAGGTATCGTCATCAGATATTTCAGAGAGATCTTCCCGGACCGGGAATTCATCCTAGAGACAAGAAAAGGCAGACAACACAGAAAAAAAATCTTTCAACCAAAATCTCTAAGCATTTTGTACAGAAAGACATCAGACGTCAGCAGGTGGGGAGGAGGGAAGGCAATGGTAGCTGAACTGAGCTGTGATTGCCTGGAAATCAATGCCCTTGATTTTATAAGCTCTATCTATTTCTTGCCTCAGTAAAATGTCTCGGTAGCCTTGGTACTGGAAAGTGTGCTCTGATAACAACATTCGTCCTACCAAAATCAAATTCCTGACGTAAAGGGATTAAACGAGAACTTTGACTGTGTTAGCTCAACAGCATCAGCCTCTAACTGCCCTAGCGAGGCACCCCTGTTTTGGGGAAAAACAAATCTAATAGGCTGAAAGCCTCCAGACCTGACAGACAAAACCTTTCCCCTGTGCCGCTCTGCGGGGTCTCGCATACCAGAGGCAACAGGCAGCAGGGGCCGAGGAAGCGGTCACTGTTTGCAGAACAACTCCCTTCATCGAGTCAAAAGGGAATGTGGTCCCAGGGCAAAATTTGCCCCTTCAGTGTGGGCTAAAAACCAGGATGCTGCAGAGACTGGATATCACCCAAAAATCCTCTCTCTCTGCATGATGGGAATGGAAATGAAGTTTAATGATCTTCTGATACCTGCCAACTGATCCTCTTCAGAATTCATTAACCACCCTGTCTTCGTGTCCTCCATGCTGACCAAACACGGCCCCGCTCTGCTGCTGACCTAGGCAACGCCAGCCCCCCTGGCTGCTGCTGGTGGTTTTACTGCTTTGCCCGACTGGTAAACCTGGAGCTTGAAAAGCATTCGCAAGCTGTGGGGCATCTCCCTGACACCGTCGCAATGGCAAGCTGCCTCACAAATCCCATCTTCTCATCGCCGCATGCTAAGAGAAGTAAACTTGCTGCAAGTACTTTTGCTTTCATGTTAAAGTGCCAGGAAAAGCAGGTACTGAAACTGCTAAACGAATGGAAAATTCCTTAATAAACAGCATAACACATAGGCAAGGTCAAAGAAATTGGGACAACTGTCCTTTCTGCAGGATTCTGGAATGATGCAAACACACAAAATGCTCCTGAACACCAGCTAGCCCAGACACCAGGAGCAGCCCTGAACAGCAACTGCCCATCCCAAAGCACGGTTAGCGGTTTCTAGAGATTGCTCTGCTGGCTGCGAGCGCAGATCACCGAAATCGGGGATAGCTAGAGCCACAGCAGCACGTTCCCACCAGCCCCAGGAAGACGCTTGTGTTTCCTCCATCTTTAATCCACGAGAGGTGCAGAGGGGACTCCTGCTGCACCGGGGTACGAGCAGACACCCGCAGGCAGCACCGAGCAGCTGCCCAGGCGTGCAGTGTCACAGGGACATTACAGCTAACCTGGCTATACTGGAAAGTCCTTCTCAGGCAGATTTTCCTACTTCCACAAGGAGCTTTGCCAAGCAAATTTTGTTATGGCCTTTTGATTGCTGGATTGACCGTAGGGAGCTCACTTGTTCTCTCTCTCTGGCATGCACACACTTCTACATATTAAACTTTGGGTGAAAACCCATTAGATTTCTATTTCATACCTTCCGCACCACTGGACTGACCGTGCTCTGGACTTACTGAGAATAAACAGCACATTAAAACCCGTAAGCACAAACCTTGTTGCCGTGTGGCTTCAACAACCAGAGCATTAGTGGGTTTGCGCTTATAGCAATCTCTTCAGGTTGCTTAGCGCCTGACTTGCTGCGACTGCCACCGAGAGATGGGAGAGCAGAGGAAAGCTCTGCTCAGTGAGATGCCTCAACACTCCCAGCTCAGCTTCGCAGCAGCGCACAGCGATTCACCCATGTTATTTACCATTTTCTTCTTCTGGCTGTCGGAATCCTCACTTTCGAAGTCTGGGTCATCCATAACAAATGAGAGCATCTGAGTAGCTATTGGTCCCTCTGGATCACTGTCAGACTCCTCAGGCTTTTCCTCTTTGACCACTTTCTGCTTGAGTGCATGTCCTTTGCTTTGGGAAGTGGTCTTTGGGGCCTGGGCTGCTGCTGGGGTGGCAGGAGCAGCAGCAGCAGCAGCTGGCAGGCTAGCACTGAGCTTGCTGCTGCTGTTTCTTTCGGATCCAGAACGCGGAGGTAAACTGTCAGGAGGCTTCGGGTCAGTTGCTTTGGTCAAAATTGCTTCACTCTGTGGTTTCAGAGAATTTCTGGAAGACCTGAGAAGAAGGAAACAGATTGGCAGAGCCTGTCCACACTCCCACTTCTGTGGAGCAAAGCACAAAGACCAAGGACTAGCTGAGCCTGCCTCAAGGGTTGCAGTGTGCATCTCGAGGGGAGAGGCAGTCCCTCCTAGCGGGGCGTGTGTGTTCGAACACGTACCGCTCAGAGGCTGAAGACAGTCCTCATCTCTGAGGATGCTGATGCACAGGTGCCTGCGCCAGCGGGCCACACCTGACTGCATCACCCACAGGATGTGCTACGGGGAGAACACGACCCAGTTCGTCCTTCTCCAGCACGGGGTGTGGTGAACGACTCCCGCTCCCCTCACCACAAGACTCGACTCCTCTGTGCTCCTCACACGGCTACGACCAGACGTTCAGGCGCTCAGTTACAGTTTCTTGTTCAAACTTGAGAAAAAGGCTGGGCCATTCCCAACCAGAAACGTACCAGCGACCACAGGAGCACAGTGCTCAAAGGCATGCTGCCTAGCTGCGGTGCAGGAAACACTGCATAAAGCAGTCACACCTAAAGTAAATACAGCCCCAGCCTACAGCTGAAGGAACGGGCTGATAGAGGCACCACGAGTTCCCAGAGGCCGCACAGAAGTCAGTGGCAGGACCAAGAAGAGGCCCAAGGTTGCCCGCACAATACTTCAGGCTGTGCTTCGTACCTCTTTTTTCCCTGCTCCGTGTCAATGTCTTCATCAGGTATGAGTACAACCTTAGAGTCCTTCACCTCTTCCTCTTCCTCCTCCTCGCTGGAGAGGGTGACGTTCTTGCTGGGCACCCGTTCTGCTGCCGGCATGGGTCTGCTGGGGAGTTTGTCATCCAGATCCAGGTCGTCTTGGAAACCTGCCACCATGGGGTTCCCCCCGGGCGCCTCTCCATCGCTGCAAAATAGACAATGATCAGAGGCAGCACCCCCAGGACGTGCTAGGACAGACAGGCCTCCCCTCGAAAGCAGACTGCCGCCCGTCTGGCTTTTCCAGCCGACTTCAAGGTCAACGTCCCTCAGGCCAGGGCAGCCACACCGTGCCCGCCCGCTGGCCCCGCGCGGGCGTGGCACTTCCCCCGCAAAAACCGGGCCACAGAAGGCTGCGTCACACAGTGGCTGCTACCGCTCAAGCCGAAAATAAGCGGCTGGAAAAGGTGAGGCTCAGTGCTACAGAGCAGCCTGTTGCTTCAGCTCTACCAGAACATCTCCGGTCCAAGATGCAGGGATCAGCCAATTAAACCGCGGGAGCTGCCTGCCTTAATCCCCACGTCCTGTAATTAAACCCGGTCATACACTGCCGCTACTATGGGAATTCACTTGCAGCTATTAGCTTCCTGGAATTATTTCTATTTCTCAGGTGCTCGCTGCAGCAGGCAGCTACCCAGACACCACAACCATGCTTTAACATTCCCCAAATTAAATTAACCGAAGGACACACTTTTAGAGCTAGGAGTCTGTCAGACTCCCTGGATGTAACACAGTTATGTGTTCAGAGGCACCTCGATAGAGAGCTTTGCAGCTGAAATTACCAGCCGAGGATTCTTGTCTGAATGTCCCTAGGACTCAACAATTTTAATACTTTCTGAAGGATTTGCTCGTGTCAGGAATATAGCTGTTTTCCCCGGTGTCAGCTGACGAGCCTTTGCATCACCTTTCCTCATTCTATTTGTTTTATCTGCAACAGATACCCAGCTCCTTCCTGATAACCCACCACACACCATAGCCACCGGCCTTTTAATGACTTGATACGGATTGTACAAACCCAGCCTTCATTTTTACGCAGAGACAAAAAAAAAAAAAGATCATAGCTTGGAACAGATTAGATTTTAGAGGCACAAAAAGAATCACAAAACCCTAAAATTCTTCATCTGGAAGAAGGTGGCATTCCCAGTCACTAGCACATGGCCAGCACTGGAAGAGACAGTGGCGGATGGTGTGCTGATGGGATGGGAAATGCCGAGGCCCTAACGCAGTCCGGCTGATTGTACTACTCACTCTGGCTCTTCTTATGCCTAGCTACTGGTTTACCAGTTAGTTTTAAAGAATTAATACCTCTGCCAACAGATCATGGAGTTACTTGTGCCATAGGGGACACCAGGCTTAGGACAACCGGTGCAGCACAGAGCGGTGACACCCAGTGCTTGTCTGGGTTAGCGCGCTGAGGTCAGGGCTCACGTCCACTCCCTCCTTCTGCTTTTGGTGTGGATCCCTCTGCTTTCAGGACTCTCAGCGCAGCTCCCAGCTAAGCAGAGGCAGGCTGCTGAAGAGCCCCTTCATCATTAACACTGCTGCTCTCATGCAGAGCCAGAAAGGAGGCACGCAGCCCATCCCACACAAAGGAGAAGAAAACTGGTGCCCAAAACAGCCTCCAAGGCTGGAGGAATTACAAGTGAGCGATTTCTGAGGGCTGCGAAGCACTGGCAGGGTTTCCTCTTGAAATGCGCTGAAAAGAAAATGGAGTTGCATCCTAAAAATGGCAGGGTATTATTCTGAATTAGTGACACTGCATTTCTTTAACATGTCACTGCTCTATTAAGCACAGGGGCTCTTCAGAGATTGCTGCCACTGCCACTGTCCTCCTACTGCACACCATACGAGACCTGCAGCCTTTAAAGCATTCCCAGTCCGAAGAGAACATCCACGTGTGTACACGCACCGGCACAAAGTGGGTCATCTCCCTTTGCCGTGAATACCCTGCCTCCATCTATAACTTCCACGCAAGTCGTTGAGCGACAGCTTAAGAACAAAGCAATGGAGTGAATATGCATCAGGAAAATCACTGCTGCGGTATAAACAAGGTCTGACAATGCAAAATTAGTATCAGCTTGTGGTCCTGAGGTTCCAGCTGGAAGGAATTCAGAGCATGCAAAAACAAGCACATTGCACCACTCTCTCCAGCACTTGACGCGCTGCCAAGCCTGCGTTAGTGTTGAGCCAACGTCTTTGCAGGCGCAGGTACCCACCAAAAATGACTACGCTCGCCGAGGCCTGCGTCTGAGCTACTGATCAAAGAGCACGTCGGGGTTTCCTCAGTCAGCCCTCCGTCGCGTACGCAGAATGGCTGCTGGTGATGAAACGAATCCTGCTGCAACCTGAGCGCACGGTCTCAAACCCGGATCGACCGTGTTCCTCCAGCCCCACGGGCAGCCAGCAGAATCCTCTTGCCACGGCAGTTTTTGGGACTAGAGAAAGAGGAAAAACCCAAACTCTAATAAAGCAGATAAGCTGAGGGAATCAGACGCCGCAGCATGAGCCTGCGTGACTATGTTCCAGGAGATGGGGGTCTTCTAGTGTGAACCAAACAGCGTCCTCAGCTTCTCTCACTTGGTCTAGCGCGGCTGGGTACTGCTCTATAAACAACAGATGCCGTAAAAGCAGAGAAGCAGTTCAAAACCCTTCAGATGTAAGGACAAGGAAATCTAATCAACGTTTAAGATAAATGTCTAGTGATGCTGAGAAGACAGAACAGGAATACTGTTAGGTACAGCATAAACTCGCTTTTGGACACCTACAGCCATGGACCTAGGCCAGCCTGACCCAGCAGGAGGGACGAGGGGAGCCTGTCTGGAGCCAGATTAGCTCCTCTGGTACGGTCGCATACACGCTGGCTCAGGGCATCAGGCTAAAGAGCAGCAAATTAAGTTCTGCAACAGCAACCTGGGAGATTGAACTGCCTTCCTAATTAACCGGTACAGAAACTGATTTTGGGAGTTGTCTTTATTGCAAGTTAGAGAACCATAACACGCCATTAAACAAAACCCAGGACTCCATTAATCTCTGTAGATCTGTGCTGGGATTTAGCTATAGCAACACCAAGAGACGTCAGTAAGTGCTGAAAGTCTCAGCAGCTTTCTGATCTTTGGGCAAGAGCAGCCCTGTTCCACAGGCGTGAATGAGCTCATTCCTCACCGCTAGCACGCTTCGGGGGAAAAAAAAAAAAAGTGCTTTTTTCTTATATTACTGCTCCATGTCAACTCTTGCTCCATTGTTTAGAGACATTATGGAGTAGAGAATGGAAGAAGTTCACATGACATCATTGCAAAAAAAATCAAGAATTCCCTACATCACCCAAATGGATGAGAAATACCAGACTCCACGGCCTCTTTCTGAAGCTCAGAAAGGAAAAGCAAACAAAGTCTTACAAATGGAAGCAAACACCCCTGAGATGAGGAAGCAATTCAGTTACAGAGCATAACGTCCTGCTTCCAACAACGAGAACAAGATCTTCCCCTCTTCCCCGAGGAGTTGCCCTCTACGTGAAAGAGCAGCTGAGTGCATGGAGCTCTGCCTGGGGATGGATGAGGAGCCACCTGAGAGCTTATGGGTGAGGATTCAAGAGTGGACAGGTAAAGGCGACACCACAGTGGGTGCCTGCTGCAGGAGGAGCAGCCTCATGTTCAGAAACCCTAGTCCTCACGGACTTCAACCACTCCCGTATCTGCTGGAGGGAGAAGACAGAAGGATGTAAGCAATGCAGGAGGTTCCTGGAGTGCACTGATGATAACCTCCTCCTCCTCTGAGTGACAGAGGAGCCAACGAGGAGAGGTGCTCTGCTGGACCTCATGCCCACAAAAAATGAGGGGCTTGTTGGGAAGGTGACGGTCAAAGGCAGCCTTGGTGGAGTTCAGGGTCCTGAGGGCAGGGGGGGTAAAAAGCAAGCTGGACTTCAGGAGAGCAGACTTTGGCCTCTTCAAAGATTTGCCTGGAAGAGCCCTGTGAGACAAGGCCTTGGAGGGAAGAAGGGCCCAAGAAAGTTGGTTAATATTCAAGGATCACCTCCTCCAAGCTCAACAGCTGTCCATCCCAACGTATAAGGAGTCAGGCAAAAATGCTACGAGGCCTGCGTGGATGAACAAGGAGCTCCTGGACAAACTCAAACACAAAAAGGAAGCATACAGAGGGTGGAAGGAAGGACGGGTAGCCTGGAAGGAATACAGAGACATTGCCCGAGCACAGCAATTTCCTGAAGAGGAAAGCAAATGTCACTCCAGTCTTCAAGAAGGGCAAGAAGGACCCAGAGAACTACAGCCCAGTCAGCCTCACCTCGATCTCTGGGAATGTGATGGAGCAGCTAATCCTGCAAATTATTTCCAGGCACACGAATGACAAGAAAATCATCAGGAGCGCATGGATTTACCAAGGGTGAGTCATGCTTGACCAACTTGATCAAAGTCTATGATGCAATAACTGGCCTGGTAGATGAGGGGAGAGCAGTGGATACCTGGACTTCAATAAGGTCTTTGACACTATCTCCCATAAGATCCTCCCAGGGAAGCTGCTGATGTACTGGCTGGATGAGCGACAGCGAGGTGGAGTGAAAACTGGCTGAATGGCTGGGCTCAGAGGGTGGTGATCGAGGCACAAAGTCCAGTTGGAGGCCAGTAACTAGCAGTGTGCCCCAGGGATCAATATGGGGCCCAGTCCTGTTTATCATCTTCATCAAGATCTTGGTGATGGGACAGGGAGTACCCTCAGCAAGTTTGCAGATGACACCAAACTGGGAGGAACGGCTGATGCGCCAGAGGGTCACGCCGCCACCCAGAGGGACCTTGTCAGGCTGGAGAAACGGGCTGACAGGAACCTCCTGAAGTTCAACAAGGGGAAGTGCCAAGTCCTGCACCTGGGGAGGAACAACCCCAACCATCAATACCTGCCAGGGGCCACCCAGCTGGAAAGCAGCTTGGCAGAAGAGGGCCTGGGGGTCCTGGTGGACACCAAGTTGAACTTAAGTCAGCAACGTGTCCCTGCCGCAAAGAAGGCTAATGGTATCCTGGGCTGCATTAGGCAAAGTATTGCCAGGAGGTCAGGGGAGGTGGTTCTTCCCCTCTGCTCAGCACTGGTGAGGCCACACCTGGAAGGCTGTGTCCAGTTCTCGGTGCTCCTCAGTACAAGAGACACATGGGTATACTGGAGAGAGGGCAACAAAGGTGATTAAGGGACGGGAGCATCTCTCACATGAGGAAAGGCTCTCTCACATGAGAGCTGGGACTGCTTAGCCTAGAGAAGAGAAAGCTTGGGGAGACCTTAGCAATGTATTTAAATATCTGAAGGAGGGTGCAAAGAAGATGGAGCCAGGCTCTTTTCAGTGGTGCCCAATGACAGGACAAGAGGCAAGGGGCACAAACCGGAACACAGCAGGTTCCCTGTGAACATCAGGAAACACTTCTTCCACTGTGAGGGTGACTGAGCACTGGCACAGGTGCCAGAGAGGTTGTGGAGTCTCCATCCATGGAGATATTCAAAAGCTGTCTGGACGTAGTCCTGGGCAACCGGCTCTGGGTGGCCCTGGTTGAGCAGGGAGGCTGGAGCAGAAGACCTCCAGAGCTGCCTTCCAGCCTCAGCCACTCTGCGAACGTAACTCTCTCTGCTTCACATGTGAAACGCACTGCGCACTAAGGTGTTCTCACATGAGCCACCTGCAAGACTCCTGCCTACGGACAGCAAGGCAATTCCTCTTACTTGGGTAAGAGAAGAAACTTTACAAATTCTCAACACACAGCCCGTTCTTCTGCCCCATCTTCAATGGCTCTTCAGTTTCGGAGCTTACACTGGGTTACAGCCCACCTAGAAGAAATGCTGGCAAGCTGCATAAGCTTAACATTCAGACACCTGCTTAAAAATATTCAGGAGACCTGAACGCTTTGGTCCTCGCTCAGATGCAAGGGGGAAACAGCTTCCAGTATTTCGCTTTTTAAAACCAATAAACTCTCCATTAGGTTTGAGTGGTTTCACAGGAGAACTTTGATGTTCTTTAGGTCAGAGATAAATTTCTGCAGCAGTAGATTTTTTCGCAAGTACAACAGCCTACTCACTGCAGTAGAAGCTGATTATTAGGGACGGTGCTTACAGAACTCTTACGTTGCTCCTGGCCATCATGGGGTTGTATCTGGCATCCCGAAGGAAATCAATTATTGCTGGTGATGGTCCTAACCATATCTACATCTCTGAATTTCAGCACATCTGGCTTATTGCGGTAGGCCATTTTTGGCAAGAAACAAAAGGTAAAACGGCCAGACCACTGAGAGAACTGTGTGAACTACATAAGAAACCAGAGCAAGACGTGGACGCCAAGCTGCAGAGAAATAATGAGCATTTGAATTTGCAGGGATGCGCTGCAAGGTCTTCTCCTGGGGAAACAAGAGCTGTTACACCTGCAGATGGTTACCACCGTCATCAAAGGACGAAGCTGTGAACAAGCGTCCTCTCTGTGCTCTGTGAAAGCCCAGTGGTGCCTCTCTTTCTGCCCCCACCAGCTCATATGCACTGGAAGGCTACCAAGACTGGGGACACAGCACAGAAGGGCATCATAGCAGCCAAGAACATGACAACTCTACAACCAAGGAGCAGGGCTCTTGCGCCACTGTTTGAGATGTTTGGCTTTTTGTATAGTTTAAGACCTATTTGCTTCCCATGACCGACATTCTGGAGAAGCCTTTGTTAAAGATCCAGCCTCCCACCCACAGCAAGAACTGCGGCTAAGGAGCTCGAAGGCCACTGCAGGACCCAGCCCTTCAGCAAACCCCGGGAAGGTCAGGCTTGGCTCTCCTGACATTTCCTTGTTAAACACAGAAAAATATCCCAGCTGAGCCACAGCCGCGAGCGAGATGCTTTCTAGGCCAGCATGCTTCTAGCAACCACCACTTTTTTTTCTTTCTTTCCTTTTTTTTTTTTTTTTTTAATAAAACATCCACGTGCTCTGCCATCACAAGGGATGATGATTCAGGCTGACCTGCATCAGACAGGCATTGAGCCTCGCACACAGCATTGATTTCAAGTTGTTGTGGTTGAACTCGAGAACACTGAATCATGACAAAGATGTCGGAAGATGCAGAATCCACCACAATCACAGATGAGCTGTATCAGCGTTTAATTACTCTCCTGGTTAATCCAGCGTTAATGACAAGAGGCAGCAGGCAAGGACTATTCTAAGCAGAGCCTGTGAGTACGCTTTGGTCACCTCTTAAGAGACAGTCGGCTTTCAGACAGCTTGCTGCACATCCTCTTGTCTGAGCAGCTCAGTATACAAAATCCCTTTTCCCTTTTTTTGGTTAAAAACATCAAAGACAGGAAAAGAATAAAAAGAAAAGGGAAAAAAAAAAAAGAAAATCCAGACTACAGCGTAAGCACAGCTCTCTGTCATCTGGAGGACAGAATTACAGAATCAGAGAATAGTTTGGGTTGGAAGGGACCTTTAAAGGTCACCTAGTCCAACCCCTTGCAATGAGCAGGGACATCAACCAGATCAGGTTGCTCAGAGCCCCGTCCAACCTGACCTTGAATATCTCCAGGGATGGGGCATCTCCCACCTCTCTGGGCAACCTGGGCCAGTGTTTCACCACCCTCATCATAAAAAAAGTTATTCCTTATATCTAGTCTGAATCTCCCCTCTTTTAGTTTAAAACCATCACCCCTTGTCCTATCACTACAGGCCCTACTAAAAAGTTTGTCCCCATCTTTCTTATCAGCCCCCTTTAAGCACGGCAAGGCCGCAATCAGGTCTCCCCACAGCCTCCTCCTCTCCAGGCTGAACACCCCCAGCTCTCAGCCTGTCCTCACAGCAGAGGTGCTCCAGCCTCTGAGCATCTTCGTGGCCTCCTCTGGCCCCGCTCCAACAGCTCCATGTCCTTCCCGTGCTGAGGACCCCGAGCTGGACGCAGGGCTCCAGGGGGGTCTCCCCAGAGCGGAGCAGAGGGGCAGAATCCCCTCCCTCGCCCCACTGCCCACGCTGTGGGGGATGCAGCCCAGGAGATGCTTGGCTTTCTGGGCTGTGAGGGCACATTGCCGGCTCATGGCCAGCTTTTCATTCACCAGTACCCCCAAGTCCTTCTCGGCAGGGCTGCTCTCCATCCCTTCATCCCCCAGCCTGTACTGGTACTGGGGATTGCCCCAACCCAGGTGCAGGACCTTGCACTTGGCCTTGTTGAACCCCATGAGGTTCACACAGGCCCACCTCTCCAGCCTGCCCAGGTCCCTCTGGATGCCATCCCGTCCCTCAGGCGTGTCACCTGCACCGCTCAGCTTGGTGTCATCTGCAAACTTGCTGAGGGTGCCCTTGATCCCGCTGCCTGTGTCACTAATGAAGATATTGAACAGCGCTGTGGCCCGTGTGGACCCCTGAGGGACACCACTTCGCACTGATCTCCATCCGGACATTGAGCCATTGACCACTACCCTCTGGATGTGACCATCTAGCCAATTCCTCAACCACTGAACAGTCCATCCATCAAATCCGTATCTCTCCAATTTAGAGAGAAAATACTGGGAAGAAACATTAGAAATGGACAGAGAAAAAGAAAGGCACCCTCTAAGACTTTTCTGGAATCTGCAAGCAAGCACGCAGTGACGATCCCAAGGGAGCACGACCCTCTCCAGCCTTCCTTCCAGAATCCCACTGAGCCACACAGTGTCCCCAGGTGTCCTCCAACAAACACAAACCCCTTTATAATGCCTCAGGAATGGCAGTAGCAGGCCATGAAGGAGTCTGGCCATGCTTTGGGCCTCTGCAGTGGGAAAGTATTCATTAGGCAAAACATAATATCCCTGCAAAGCGCATTGTGGTCCAGAAGGAAAATACCTCAAACGTTTCAGCACATTTGGCCAGAAGAGAAGTCCCTTCCTGACCCAAAGCAACCCAGTGGTTTAACACTGAGCATAAAGGCAAGACAGCAAAACCAGGAAGGTGATAACTAGCTTTGCTGCTGTCCCTCATTCCCAGGGAGCAGTGTGTATCATCAAATGGGAGCCAGTGCATGCTACGACTGACGATACCACAGCCAGAAAGGCGTAGGGGCAGCTAATTGCTCTGTAACCACGTTCTGAACAGTTGCAACAGGTTAGCCAGGCCCGAGCCCTCATTCAGACTGTACATCCAGATATATCCCTGTCTCACCCTCCCTCCGTCCTCCTTTCCTTACCTTTCGCTATCGACACGGTGTTTAGCCTGTAGTTTCCCTTTGTCCTTCTGTGGGGCTGGGTCTTCTAGAAAGCTGTGGTCCAGGCTGTCATCAGGAACAAAGTCCTCCACGCTCTGTACTTTCGCAGGGGCTTGAGGGTGAGGAGGAGGAGTGGCGGCGGCAGCAGGATCTGCATTAGCAACAGCAGTTGTAAAACACGGGGTTCATCACAAGCAAGACAGAAATTTGCTTTTTACAGATCTGTCCTGCCCAGGGCCTCTTCGGCACACAGGCAGCAGCCACGAAGCAGGACCTCAGCTACACGGCAAGGGAAGAGGAAGGTTACGAACAGGACACTCAAAGCAGTTCAGAATCTTGCATGAAGGCACTCACAGACCACACGCGGCTGCTGAGGTTTCACACGCGCCAGGCTGGCCCAGGCTATAAAACAGCCTGACAAACTCTCTAGCATGGCAGCTGACTCTGCTCTACAGAGAACGCTACCCCTGACTATCCTACAGCCAGATTTTATACCTACGCTGTGCGCGCCGCTCCTGTGTGATGTCCCTTCATCATTCTCTTACCTTTTCCAGACTGTTCAGTTCACCCACTCGCCTCCTCTGGCTGTTTCAACTGTAGCTGTCAAAGGCAGGATTTTTCACACTGTGCTTTTAGATGCCCTGTGTAACCAAAAGCTCAAGAGCTACTGCAAATAGAGACTCGCTTCAATATAGCTTATTTGTAGAGACACTGCTACCCACCTTCAAGGTATCAGGATGAAATCTCATGAAATGAGCATAACCAGGAAGCCTGAAGTGATTAACCTTTTCAGCATTTGCAATATTCAACCTTTTTCTTCTGCCCTGACTGCACTTCACATCTAGGCTTTTTTCTTTTGGGTGAACAAGACTTGTATATTTTTTCTAGATTTTGCTCTACTAGTACAGCTTTCAGATCACTTCTGCATACAAATAACACTATTACTAATGCCATAGAGTAGCGTTGGCGTAAGAAAAAGCACAGCCAAAAGAATTACTACTGCAAGAGAAAGCTTAAATAGCAGCTCCCATAAAAAACCAAGCATTACTTTGTGACAGTGATTTTTCAACTGGCTTCCAATTAGCTAGTCCCTAGGTATGTTCCAGTAGAGGTGCAGACCCTTGGCACGCCACATAAACCTAAGAACACTGGCAGATCAGCTTTTCCTAGCTGCCTTTTGCAATCCTGAAAAGCACCCTTGAGATACCCGGTCTGCAGGCCACAAGCCTAAAACAGTTCTCAAGCTAAGCGACAGATTTAAAAAAAAAAGAAGAAAAAGAAAAAAACCCCAAACCCCAAGATTGTAACACTGGTAGTAGGCCACTTGTCTTTTTTCTACATACCAATATGACAAAGGTTTTTTTTATCGACAAGGGATTTCTAACAGTTGCTCCTCCTTGTTTGTTTGTTTCTGGGTAGGAAGAGTCACAAACAAACCGAAAAGGGTGTACCGTGTCATACCTGGTAACAGATTTGGGATGCAGAACATTGTGTGCAGATCTAAAACTGAAAGATTTCAACATCTGAAACCACAAACCATGTTCCCAGCACCTCCTCCTTTCTTTCTGTGGGTGTCTCGAGAGTACTGTGAGCTCTAGGGATTGACAGTTTGAGAGGGAAGGTATTTCCAAGGGGTGATTCAAACCATGTCATGCTAATGATTTTTAGGCAGTGCCAGCCCTGCAGCTCCAGTTAGCTTCGCAAACAAAGCGAATGTGACAGGCAAATCAAGGTCCAGATCGGTAAAAGTACGTGCAACAAAACCCTCGATGCTTCTGTCCTGCAACTTTGTCCGGCAGGGGCTTGGACCGAACGCTGCGGTACTCTGCTCCATTGTGTGCTAGCGCTAAGGAAGAAGTCGAGGAGGGCAGCCCTCCTCCTCAGACCATCTCTGAAGGAGCATATTTCCCCGGAGGGGAATCCGCTGCAGAGCCTGGACTTACGTGATCATTTCTGGCTGAATAACCTTTAAAACCAGCACTCTGCTGTTCTCCGTTAACACACAGGAGCCCCTTTGAGCTGCCAGACTTTTGTGAAGACAGAGCTTCAAATAGCTTCTCTAACTTGCTATTCAAGAGGCATATGTGCTCCTGGTAAGAAGCTGACAGTTATTTTATTAGTGTCCCCCACGTGTTCAGTCCCTTCCTCCTGAAGCACGCTGCAGTCACCACCCAGGCGGCTGGACACAGTCCCCATCCAAGCCCAGCACAGAGACAAACCAAAATGCCAATCAGGAGAAAAAGAGAGAGCGACAGCGCAGCTCTCCTTGGACACACGCTGCACACGTTCGGGGCCTGTGGGCTTCAGGCACCTGTCTGCTCAGGCTCTCGCAGGGAAAAAATGAAAGGAAAGCAGAGGAACACCCTGCCTAGACACTGCACTCCAGCACCTACCTGGCTGGGGAGGAGAGGGGTCTGAGGCGGGAGACGTCCCAAAGAGACGTGAAATAATGCTGCGCTTTGGTGGGGGGACTGCGGCCGGAGGCGCTGGGGAGGCTGTAGCTGGTGGAGGCGCGTGCGGCTGCTGGGCCTCGGGTGCAGGCACTGGTGAAAAAGATGAGGGGGGTTCAGGAGAGATGGTGGAGCTTGTGGCAAGCGGCTGCGGCGGCTGTGGGGTGCCAGGGCTGGAGCTGCCCGTCGACGTGGAGCTCGGAGGTACTATGGGTGACTGGGAGCCGGAGGAAGGGCTTTGCCCGTTAGTCGTTAGTGGCGACGTGTGTCCTCGACTTCGGGCTTCCATCATTTCAAGGAAGCTGCAGGGAAGATAAATTGCAAATATAAGGAACGGAGAAAACATGCTCAACAGAGCACCGAGCACGATGCTGGGCTGCTTTGGCTATGTGCTGGGCTGGGAGGGTACAGGTCTGCTTTCGGTGATGCTGCGACTCCCTGGGCCACAGTAAATCCGGTTCACCCACGTGAGCTAACCTCACCCGATCTGCATGGAGGTGTGGAGAATCCCAACCTGTTTTGCACTGCAGGACGAAACCTACGTTTGCAACGCTGCTGGGAACTCCCTGGATAGACAGACTATAACAACACGCCAGGGCTCGAAACACAACCTTAAGTCAGTTCTTGGACATATGTCTCTAAGGGAGTAAGTGCTACAGGAATGGCACATTTTTAGATTCAGCAGAAGAGATCAGAGCGTTCAAGAAGACTCACATGCTATAAAACCCTCTTCTTTCAGCCAAGAATGCATTTGAAAGGAGAATCCTTGAACGTCAAAAGAAAAGAGCTATCCAGAGGGCTCACAGAGGACCGACTGCGTATATCCCGCTTGCAACGTGCAGATATACAGGCCGTCTCTCCCCCTGCACACACTCCCCCTCTGTGTGGGAGGCGGTGGAGCCAAGCAGCAGAAGCTCTGAAGCAAGTTGTGGTCCTGGCTGGATTCCTGACTAGAAGAGCAATAAAGCCTGTACTGCTAGAGAGGGTGAAATGCTCCATCCTTTTCAAAAAGGAAACCAAGGCCGATCCTGCTGCAGCCTCCTTCAGCAGCCCGTTCGTTAGCAGTCTTTTCACAAGCTGTATGCAAAGAAACACGAACAGAAAGCCAAGCTTTTCCTATGAAATGGTCTCAAAGCAAGATCTGCTACACGCCACACATCTGAGAGATATACAGAGCACACCTAAGTGAAGCATCATGTATAAATGTAGCATATGTCACCGTCTCGCCTCTTATTTCATGAAGCCTAATGAACTCGTGCACGGAGGCTCTGGGTTCAATTGCTTCTGCAGGACAGACAGACTCGGCTGTGCTTAAGGCAACGGCTCCTCTCCCATACAGAGCACGACCTCATCATTCTAGAATACCAGACTAAAGGCTGCAAACGCAACGCTGCCCGGGAGGAGCAGAAAAGGAGCCTGGCTGTCACACGGCTGTCTCTGCCTGTCCCCTGAGACCGCTGTCAAGGCACCTCAATTCGTGCCACGCTGTGGTAGCCTCACTGAGGCTTCCACCAGGATCTGGGGCAAGGCTCGTGTGCTTATTCCACCCAGCAGACTGGCTCCCGGCAGAGCTGAGATCAGAGAATGCGACAGCATCCATTCCAGCATCCTCCCTCCCAGGGGACCAGTAGCTGGGGTGAGCTGTGCGACAACATGTTCCACTGAAAATGATGCATGATTTGTCATGCATCAAAGAGAAAACATAAAGGAGCTTAACTCTTGCACTGAGCTCCGTGGAGACTGCATCGGGTTTGTTTGGAAGGTGCACAATGCATCACGCACACCGTAAGAATATAACAGTGTGCTGTCAATGCATCTCTGTCACTGTGCTGCAGGGCCGAGCAATGGGACGTCACTCCTGTCTCGAGGAGGGGGTCACCATACACGCCATTCAGCATCGCTCAAGGCATCTGTGGGGAGGGAAAGAGAACCCAAGGCTACCTGCAACTCAACAAAGCGAACACTCTGAATCCACAAAGCCATGTGAATCGCTATGGCCTGAAAAGCCACCCACGAGACCCGCCTGCACAGGACCTGCGGCTCCGCAGATCCGAGCCAGAAGCACTGAGTGCTAAATTCTGTCATCCCTCCCCTCCGAGCTTTGGTTCGGGGCTCCCCGCGAGCCGAAGGCAGGACAGCTGAATAGCCCTGCTTTGTGGTACTCACTCCTCCTCCGCCCAAGCCCTGCTCAGGGTTAGAGACTCCTGCCTCCCAACTGCGAAGAGAGATTAATCCCAGCTGATCCACACGCACCCCTGCACCTGTTTGTAGCAACAGCGATCCTGGCCGGGAGGCCTGCAAGCTTGGTCACTGCCGCATCCAGCATCCGAGGTACCGATGCCAGCGCTGCTCGCTCTCCTGGCTGAGCTGAGCTCTCTGACTGCCTGCGTGAGCACCTAAATCACCAACGCCACACAAAACCAGAACCGAACAACCGCTGAGTCTGACCAGGACGCTGGGTCCCACCGTCGAGGCAGCTGGGTGACTCAGGCAGGATAAGGTGGTTGTACACTGAAGACTAAGGAACAAGGATGAAGTACATACAAAGTCCGTATATGGTCATTTCAGGATACAGAATATGAAGCTCCGAGAGTACTTAAAGCTGGACCCAACAAAGCGCAGGACACTCTTTACAATACCAGGGTATTTGAAGATTTACTGTACTTTGTACTACCAAAGCTGCCCATTTTGGAACCAACCTGCTTTGTTCTGGGCAAGTAGCCAGCTCCAGAGGGAGGGAGGGCTGCGACTACCACCTGTTTCTCCTGCAGAAACACATGAATTTTAAGAGCTGGAGGGAAAAAATGCTACATAACTGAAGTATAAAGAGTGTCATCCTCCCCTCCAGCTCAGCTAATCTGGAGAGTAACATACACGCAGGCTTCTTCCACACCTGTGCTCCTGTGCCTCGCTCACCTACATTATGTGAAGGGCGTAAGAACGCAAGACAGCAAGTTATTTTTAGTAGAAAGATGCAGTGGTTATTTGGGGACAGCATGACAGAGGCTCTTACCCCAGCACAGCACCAAGGAGAGCTGTGGCACGTGGGCTCCGTGTCACCTTCCTCATCTCCAACCAGACGCACGGGCCAAGCTCTGTGCCGTGTGCCACGCCACCGGGGAAAGGAGGATGGTCTGACACCGGTTTTACATGGGCTGCCTAAACCGGCCCTGCTGAGCTTTCATATTCCTGTCTTCTTCCGTGAAAGAGGTGGGTGGAAAAACAGCATACATGAAAACGCTGCCAGCAAGCTCTCAGTAATTTCCAGGGTGGAGGTGTCTAAGCATCCTCCGCACTTTGAAAATACTACATAATGCATGAATGCTTTCTCTGGCTTTACACTTACTCTTCGGAGGCTCAAGTGTGGCTGTTTTGGGAACACACCAGGCCAAACCTGCCACGTGCCTGTTTTTTCTCATATTCTATACAATCTGGCCACTGCGTTTTTTGTTCTACCCTTTTTGTCAGTCCTTCACAAAAGGACTCACTCAAAACCTTACTGCGAAACAAGCAGCTTCGTGTCCACACTAGGTGTAGTAGACCAGGTCCTATTTGACAGCCGCCTGAACATGAGCCAGCAGTGTGCCCAGGTGGCCAAGAGGGCCAGTGGCATCCTGGCTTGTATCGGGAACAGTGTGGCCAGCAGGAGCAGGGCAGGGATCATCCCCCTGTGCTGGGCACTGGTGAGGCCGCCCCTCGAATGCTGTGCTCAGCGCTGGGCCCCTCACCCCACGAAGGCCATG